CAAAATGTAGACTGCCAAACATGATCTAACTATAAGAGAAAAAAATCTGAAAAGCATTTAAAATCTGATCCAACCAATCTTGTTCCTTGGGGTAACTTGATTCTTTATGTTTCTTTCATAAGGGTGCAAGAAAAAAGGTTACCCGAAAGTCAGATTATTCCTTCCTTTAGCTTCACAAACTTTTGAAAGAAAAAAGGTATCATAATTGATTCTTGTTACTTATTTTTATTTGGGGGGTGTGTTGTAATCAACTCAATTGAATTTTGTTTAAAATCAGAGCAAACTAAACCAATTAAGTTGAAATATAATTTTAGGAGTCAACAAAATTTCAAATGAACAAATTGGTAGATCAAAATTTCAAATTAACGATCTTACTAAAAATTGACCAATTTCTGCTAACATCTCAATGACTAAATCCCGACTCCTCACATTTGTTCGTAAATTTAAATACAAACAAGGTGTTCTAACTATGGATACGAACAAATATGAGAATCAGGAAAACACAATCAAGTATGTTCTTAAAATTGGCTTGCAACATAAAATGGTTTTGCAAGATGAAGCACACTTGTGATCCTTCTTATTCCACACAAACTCAAAACACTTTAAAACTCAAATACACGAGAAATTTTCAGACCAATTTCAAAAATTTCCCAGAAACATTCAACATTTTCCTACATTTCATACCAACAACCTGGAGACTCAAACCTCAACAAAACATTATCCAAACTACATTGCTTTGGCTACAATACTTGTCTTGTTCACATCCGTGAATCATAGATCAAAGACAACATATTAGACGATTCAAAGCAAAAAATGGTTGCACAAACAGGGTTGGGGAATTCCTTCTCAACCCAAAGCATCATTGCGAAAACTGATGCGTTCCGCCTAGCAGCCTACATTGGCTGTAGAGCATTAAGTCATATATAATCGACTTTTTCAGTACCCTTGTCGACATCATTTACCTCATACGAACAATATCCGGATATAAAACTGAACCTGAAAAAGGGTCCCAATCGTGTCAATGAACGTTAAATTTTACAGACTGAATCATGGAAGCCCTCGAAGTTCCAAGCTTTTCAGCTACTGAAGCACTAGTAACTGGCTTGCTGCAATGTCCAACCTTCTCCGCAGAAGTGTATCCATTTCACGAGAGTCTAACCAGAGAGTGTTACCTCAACATTATTCATTCATCACTGTCACTAATTTCAAAAACTATACTTCTAACAAAGGAACTAGATTTGGGCACTGATAACTTTCGATCTCCGAATCTACAGAGACCCATTGCAGATTTTACAGATATCCCGAGATTATTTGAGGCCACAACAAGACGATTTCCAACTCCAGTTCTCTTAACTATATTCCTTGAGGTTTTGGAACTAAGATCAGTAGACAACGGAAAAGGCAACACTCTTGGAGGAGTCTTGGGCGTAAACTGCGAAATTCCACTAACTTTTGACTTCAAGCAATTACTATCTGTTCTAGTCGTCAATCGCTTTTTACGTTGACTTTGGTTTGCTCTAGATGTAAAATTGGAGCTTAAACTCACCTCCTCGTAATCAGAAAAGTATTTCTTGATGATGCCTGAAACGGATAACGATTCTGATAATGTCTCGCTATGGTTCTCCAATATTGCACTCAATTCCCTCTCTTCAGCAGTGTCACCTCCATTTCTACTAAGGCAGCCCTTCTCGAGCCCTTTCACTGTACGATGTAGAGAGCAATTTTCCGTTACCCTCTTCCTTTTCTTCTTTTTTGAACGGTGGGTGTTTGCTAGAATCACTTGGAGTGCAACTTTCGCGTATGGAATTCTTTTAATCCCATTTTTCTTTCTTTTGCAGTTCACATGATTCTTGTTCGCACTTGACACCGGGATTTTAGGTTTAACCTTTATACTATTAGAAGTTCTATCTCTGATTTCTGCAACAACACATTCTGATAAACCTGACTCATTAGAATCACTCCAAGGACGTGCTTCCACGTGAATAAACCATGTTCCTCTTAAACCCTGGAAAGCATGCTTCATTGGCAACGAGTCGGGAAGGTGGTAGAAGCATGACCTTTGCTTCACCTGCCAGAGGCAACAAGAAGAAAAAGTGCTCAATTTGAAGCATGAGTGGCATTGAAAGCATATTAGATAACCCATGCTCTGTTTATTTCAGTGGAAAACATTTAACTTTTTATACGGAAAACTTTTGAAACTAATGTGCTAGTGGTGGAGGAGGTGGCAACGGTGTTGGGATGGTGGCATTGGTAAAACTTTAGGTTGGAAAATGTTTTTTCTCTTTCAAAAGTGAGAAACATTTCCCACCCAAATATGCTTGTTTGATGTTGACTTTCATTTTCTGTCATACTAAACTAAACGATGGAAAATGAGGAAACCACTTTTCAAAATATGTTTGCTGTTGAAACAAACAGAGTGCCAGGTACATTATTGGTACTCAAGAAAAGGAAGTAACAATCTAATAACATACCATTAATCCATTTACCCTGATCGCTCCAAGTTTAGGGAAGCAAATCAAGTGTGCTCTCTCAAGGTCTCCTACAAAACAATGGTCGGGCAGAGTAATTACCATTTATCACAATATAATTCAGCAAGCTGAGCGTTACTTGTTGCGGTGTTTATGAACTCTTCACCACTTCGTTAACTAGAATTAAGGGAAAGCACGCACTTAAACAGAAAACAAAACACAACCAAACAAGACCCTTAAAGACCACACACAATGGGGAAAAATGAAAAACACCGATTTTGGTCATCATTTTAGATACAGAAACCTTGACAAGTGACAACCCAGAAAAGTTCATGCAATGCTTCGAGGTTTTACAAAACCAAATGGAAAATAGAAGCAGCAAGGCAACAACCCATATCACCAAATGTCGTAAATAACTGATTTTCACCAACATGTGACACACACACAAAGATGGGGAGGCAACAGAAACTATAATGAAGGAAAAGCACTTAAACAGAATACAAAAACACAACCAAACAGGCCCTTAAAGCCCACACTAACACACTGACACAAAGGGGAAAAAAAAAATCAAACATCCATTTTGGTCATCATTTTATACAAAGAAACCTTGACAACCCAAAAAATTTAATGTTATGCTTCGTGGTTTTACAAAACCAATTGAATAATAGCAGCACCAAGCCAACAACCCATATCACCATATGTCTTAAAGAACTGATTTTTCACAATATGCACACACACGCACACAAAGAGGGGCACGCAACGGAAAACCAAAGCACAACCAACACCAAACAGGCCCTTAAAGACCGCACAAATACACTGATCATCATTTTAGAAGCATAAATCCAACAACCCATCTCACCAAATGTCATAAAGAACTGATTTTTCACAAATACACACACATACACAAAGATGGGCAGGCAACAGAAACTGGAATGGAAGGAAATCACTTACTCGAACAGAAAACAAAAACACAACCACAACCAAAACCAAAACCAAACAGGCCGTTAAAGACCACACACAAACACACTGACACAAAGGGGGGAAATCAAACACCCACTGTGATAATCAATTCAGACACAGAAACCTTTGACTAGCCAGAATAATTCTTGCTATGCTTCGTTGGTTTTACAAAACACAACGAAAAATAGAAGCATAAATCCAAGAACCAATATCACCAAATGTCATAAAGAACTGATTTTTCACAAACACACACACAAAGATGGGCAGGCAACAGAACTGGAATGGAGGGAAATCACTTACTCAGACAGAAAACAAAAGCACAGCCAAAACCAAACAGGCCTTAAAGACCGCACACACAGAGGAGAAAAAAATCAAACACCCATTGCCACTGAGATCATCAATTTACATACAGAAATTTTGAGAACCCAGAACAGTTCATGCTATGCTTTGTTGATTTTAGAAAACACAACGAAAAATAGAAGCATAAATCCAAGAACCAATATCACCAAATGTCATAAAGAACTGATTTTTCACAAACACACACACAAAGATGGGCAGGCAACAGAACTGGAATGGAGGGAAATCACTTACTCAGACAGAAAACAAAAGCACAGCCAAAACCAAACAGGCCTTAAAGACCGCACACACAGAGGAGAAAAAAATCAAACACCCATTGCCACTGAGATCATCAATTTACATACAGAAATTTTGAGAACCCAGAATAGTTCATGCCATGCTTTGTTGATTTTACAAAACACAACGAAAAATAAAAGCATAAATCCAACAACCCAAATCACCGAATGTCATAAAGAATTGTTTTTTCACAACATATAACAGAGCGAAGGGCAAACACCTACTCTTGAAATCTCGAGCTGTAATTTCTGGTGAGACATCGAAGGCAATGCGAGTGTCCAAATTAGTATCGGTGAACACTGGCACTTTAGCTCTCGAAGCCATCGGAGATCGCCGATTGGAATTCCAAAAGCTCGGTCATTTTCTTGATCGCATGTAAATGACACGGCTCCCCGCGCCCACAGTGGCCTTGATCTTAGCCGTCCATTTCCTCTTTTGATCCCAACCATGTATTTCAATTTATTTACTATCAAACTTGAACATCAAACATCAAAACATCATACAACATCATCAAAACAACATCAAAAATAACGATTAAATAATTTTTAAAATAACGATTAAACATCAAAATAAAGATTAAACAATTTTTTAAATAACGATTAAACATCAAAATAACAATTAAAATAATATCAAACATCAAAAATAACGATTAAACAATTTTTTCTGATCAAACATCATCATCATAACAATTTTTTTTTGATCAAACATCATCCTAACAATTTTTTTGAACAAACATCATCATAACATTAAAAACATCTCAGATCGAAACCCATATCTGATTCGAAACACACCTCAAAAACCCACATCTCCTCGGCCTCTTTCGCATCTTCATCTTCTTCTGATGACAACAACCAAACCCATATTCCACCATCATCCCCAACTCCTCCCCAAATCCCCATCTCTTATCCCTCCGATGGAATCCTAACTCGTGATTGGGTCATGGACCTCATCATCGCCTTCGATTGGGCTTCTCGAAATCTTCACAGGCATAGAGCCGCGGCGATGTGGAAGAGCCACAGGAGGCGCAACGCGGCACCTCGTTGGGGTCCCTGCGGATCGCCGCACGGCCTGGCGGGCGCACCCTCAGACACTCCTGCAACGCCCTGAACGGCTTCGCACCACCACTCCGCCGAGTGAGGGCACGGATCCGGCACCACCACTCCTCTCCGCCGCTGATACGAATGATCCATCTCCGCCACATCTCAACACCAACCGCCAATATAGATATATATGTATATAATTTGATCGTCAACATTTAGGGCTTATATATATATATATATATATATGATCGCGTGTATGTACGTGTTCAATCTGTTTGTGTTTTGAATTGTAATCGACACTGCAGGAGGAATTGATATGGAAATTGATGATGTTCACATTTTTTTTTTATGATGTTTTGTTAATGTTTGATATTGTCGATTGGTTCAGTTAATGTTGTTAATGTAGCTAATGTTTTGATGATGTTAATGATGTTGTTGATGTTGCTGATGTAGATAATGGGACTAAATGGTGCATAAGAAAACTTGTAGGACTAAATGGTTTAGCTTTCTACCATATAGGATTTACTGGTAATTTATCCTTTTTTAAATGTATTGAAAGCACAATATGTTTTTAATTCAATATTTTCAAAACAAATAACATGAATTTAGTAATTATTTTTAAAATAGTGTGGATTTGATTTTTTTTCAACGAACTTTATGTTCGATAAAACGTATAACGACTAGTTTTCTTTTGTAAAATTAATTATATTTATCATCAGTGTACTTAAGAGTCAATACCAAATTGGTATGTGAAAATAATGCTTAGGTGCATTCTCAAGCTAAGTCTAAAGGTTTTGTTCTATAGTTTGAATTGAGTATTAAAACTTTATAATGAATTCATCATTAGGTTGATAAATAAAATTATTTATATTTATTTATTTTTTTCATACTTATTGTTAAATTTTAATGGTAACTTAACGAAGACCTTAAATTCTTGTGTTCGATTAATTCTCAGTCAGACGAGTCAACAAATTTCACCTAAATAAAAAAAAACTTATTAAGTTGAGTAATCCTTCAGTCTGAGGACATACCCTTATCACCTACTATCAACTAATACAAAAATTAAACCTCGATCATTCACTCTATTAACTAGTTTTGAGTATTTTGAAGTTAATTACACTATTTGAAATTTTAATAAAAATGAGATTATTATGAAATATTTAGATAATCATCAAAAGATATATAATTACAATTCTAAAGAGTTTTGGACCAAAGTAAAAATAAAAAAAAGTTTTATCACGTGGGAAATATGGTATTCCATGTGGTAAACCATATAGTGTGTTGAATAATAATGGTATATGGTGAATGTTTTACCACTTATAAATAGGTGAGTTTATATGATAATGCATATATAGAAAAGTTATGCATTATGTGTTGTTTTAGGAAGATTAGTAAAAAGCAACGTTTTCATGTATGCAAAAAAAAAAAAAAAAAAAAAAAAAAAAAAAAAAAAAAAAAAAAAAAAGCGCAGCCAAAAACGCAACAAAACCAGTTGGGAAGTGATAAAAACGCAAACCTGTGAAATTACGTAACTACCCTCCATGTAAACAAATTGGGGCCTAGGGCAAAACACTTGCTAATTTCCTCCTCCTCGCCGTTGTGCTACTCTGCAACTCCTTCCAACAACCCACGACGTAATGCTAGTCTTTTTTTCTTCCAAATATATCACTTAGATAACCTCCATCAATGTGAACTCTTTGATCGTTTTGTTTTCTTCTTATTAGTTTGATATTTTCTTCATTTAATATCTGATTTGCCTTGGTTAATGCTGAATGGATTAGATGACATGCAGGATGAGCTATTATTTAGTTTTTACTGTCAATAATTTTTTTAGGGGTTTGAGGTTTTGTTGACTTGAGTTTATGTTTATAAGCTGCTATTTTGCTCAATTTGTATATTATACTAGCTTAAATTTTGTCATTGCTGATGTATGAAACTGAAAATGTGCAGGTTACTGTGAAGCATTTTGAAAACCTTGTTTACATTCGTGTAAAGGGTGAATCTTCCTCCGTACAACAATTAATTGGGCACACTGAATCAAACAATGACAGGGGCTTACTTATGGTAAAACACAAACCTTTGAAAAGAGATATTATTGAGTTCATTTATGTGAATGTGAAGCTTTCCTGATGTTTCTTTTGTATGAAATGACTATCATGATATTATTTAGTTCAGTTTGTTATAATGTCAAAGAGCTATTCAATAATTATCTAAGAAGCACGGACACGGATACGGATGGGGATGCGAATACGGACATGGATGCGGACATGAGACATCGTGATTTCAAGAAAATGGGGATACAAACACGACCGGGACACGATAATAAAATATATTTTCATATATTAATATTACATCCACAAACAATCAATATTAACAAAAACTAACTCTAATTTTGTATATTTAAAATAAATAAATAAAACACTTTTAAATTAATACCGTTTACATTTTCTTCTTTTTTTTATAGATGATCTATTAAGTATTTAAAATTAAGAAAAAAATAGTAAACATTTAACATTCATCAAAAGTACTAAAGAAAATGGGAAAAAAGATAACTTGGCATGTCCCTAGTGTGTCTGTGGCCTGTCTCCTGAAAATAAATTAATTAAATAAGGGGACACGCCATGTTGTGTGTCCCATACGTGTGTCTGCGTGCCCCCACCGTGTCTGTGTGTTCGACACGAATACAGCACTTGTTTTGAAGTGTCGGTACTTCATAGATGATTATTGTCTTTTGAATTTTGTTTTACTATAATGCCTCAAATATTTGAAGTCTGGACCGAATATTTTTTGTGGAGTATTCAGCAGAAACTTAAAGCTTAGGTGAAACAAGGAATTTGGTAAATCATAACAATAATAATTAAAAACAAGAAGCTTTGTGAGAGCTGAATTAGAAAAGGGGGGAGGAGGGGTGTCTTCACTATCTTGTGTCATATTACCTGCATCTCCTAGGAACGTGATTTTGTTGTACTAATTTCTTGCAGAAAGAAGTCAAGGATGGGGTTCGCAAGGAAGAAGAGATGAAGATCGAAGCTGCAGTTGGATTTCGGCAGAAGTTGATAGTTGGTCACAATTGCTTTCTTGGTACGGATATTACATTTGAGTTATGCTCAGAGGTTTTTTTTTTTTTTTTCCTTATATATCACCTGTTTTGTCTATTTCATACAGATATTGCGCACATATATAGCAAATTTTTAGGTTCTCTTCCTTCGACTGCTGAAGAATATGTCTCTTCTGTTCACAAATACTTTCCATACATCAATGACACAAAAGTACTTTTAAATGCAAATGATGTACTTAGAGCTATGATGAAGAAGGGCAGCACATCACTGTCCAAAGCATTTGCCTTCTTGTGTCCAGAAATTGCTTCGAGTGTCGAAGGATCTAGATTGGGTCTCAAGCCACATGTTAACATCGAGGTTCAAGTGGATGACATGAATTTCACTTCCCCCTTTATCTTTTACTAGGACTTGAAACTCTTCAATCTCACTAATAAAGATTCTTGGGTTATCTTGATATAGTTAATCTATTTGTTTATTTATTTGTTGTTCCATAAGTTGGCAATAATGTTGCTTTTAACTACCAACACTAAAAAGCTTGTCACTAGCCTTCGTTTCATTTTGATAAGTGGTATGTCGGCTTTTGATGGGAACATTTTTTGAAGAGAAACTATAACACATTTCACTTTTCAGTTCATGATATCATGCCCAATGCTTCAAAAAGTTTCACATACCATTGTTGTCAAACTTCAAATCAAGTGTGTGCGTACAAAAACACTTTAACTGACATGCACAATAATCTCTCACCGTAACAGGGATAAAAGGTAGACATAACTTTTAAAATCTGACACGGACTCGTATATACATGCACGTGATTGATTGAGTGATTTGTCAGATGTATACACTTGTGAATGTTTTTTGCTATCTTTGTGTGTGTGTGTCTATTTCTTACATAATTATCTAAATTATTCAAAATCAATAGCAAACCAATCATCTTGTTGAAGAATATACCTGTTGGGCATTGATATAACATAAACTTTCAAATGACACAAAAGATTATCACCATGAATAAGAAAATGATAGAGAGAAGCCTTTTAGTATGTTTTCCAAGCTTAGACGAGCCATACTAATTGTATGTCCATGTGCAGGTCCTCGAACTGGAACTCTGGAGCTAAGCATGAAGCTGGCTATGATGCTTTTATGACGGGTTGTATTTTTGCCCAAGTATGCAGTCATCCTGGGTTCAATTTCAAGCTTCATCCACCCTTCACAAATTTGACCCATGATGAGAAGCTCCAAAAGCACATTAATCTTCTTTATTTAAGCTGGATTAACAGTGACATTATTGATCTGAGGACTGGTAAGCAGACTGCAGAGTCTTCATATAACAGCCTAAAATTTAGGTATCCGAAGATTGTCTTTTCAAATATTTGTTTAATTTGGGGATTTCCATCCAAACTCAAGGCAAGGGAGATTAGGGAATGCATCTCTAAAGTCTTTGGCCCAAGCTCGGTTTCTTCCATCTATCACTTAGATGAAACTGCTGTGTTTGTTCAGTTTAGTAAAGAAGAATATGTCTCTGTTTTTCTGGAGTTGAAGGAAACCTTGGAAAGAAACAATGATCCAAGCTCGGTTTTGCATCCGCTCTCGAAACTCCTGGAAGGTGGAAACACTCGAGCTTCCAGTTACGAGTTCTATAAAGAGATTTGCAGTTCATCGATTTCGAAAGTATTGTTTGCTGATCAGGCGGAGTCAATTGGTATTAAATGGAAGACCAAATTGTTGGGAGAAAATGAAATGGCTTCTTTTCGAAATTCTACCGGCGAAAGTGAGTCGGGAAGGATGAACAGTGTGATAGATGATCTATCGTGCAGCCATTTCTTGGTTGACCTTTGCTAGATTTACTTCTCTGATTAAGTTAGCTCAGGTTAGCAAATAGATGATTCATTAAGGTTTTGACCTTTGCTAGATTTACTTCTTTGATTAAGTTTTTGCACTTCTTGAATTCAAATTCAAGTTTTTTTGTATGAATATGAGAGTTGTAATCATAGGAACAGCCAATGACCTCGAAATTACAGATGTGTGGTTCATTTTCTTTCATATACCATATATAGCATTGCAATTACTTTTCTATGAATATTTGTAGACAAAAGTTGGTGTTTTTATAGTTTTGGATTGTCTTTTTAATTGTTCTTTGGTTACTTCTTTGAGATAATTCAGTGATGATCAATTTTTTATATTAAATTTGATTACCACTTGTCATTTTTTTAGGGGGTAAAATAAGAACTTCATTCAAAGAGAATATGGCAATTGAGGATTTTTGTCAAAAAATTATTAAAATTAATTAAAAGTCAAAGTTTTTAATTCATGAAAAAAAAATTCAAATATTCATTTTTATTTGTTTTATTGTTTACACATTTAAAAAAAATAAAATAAAATGTTACTTCCCAAACAACCCGAAAGTTACTCCAACATCCAAATTATAGCAACTAAAACATGCCTATCAAAATTCAAATTCTCTCTCTCTCTCTCTCTCTCTCTCTCTAAATTTTATTTTATTTATATTTTTCACTGGCTTATGTATAGCATAAAGAATTATGATTCATTCAAGTATATTTGCCACACTAAAAAACAAAACAACATTCAGAACAACAAAACTAGTCCAAAAGAACTTTGCAGATTAGGGACTGAACTAAACAACACCAACACACACACACCCTCTCTCTCTCTTTCTCTCTCTCTCTCTCTCAAAAAGAATGAAAAGAATCAAAAACTCTACATTACTTAAAACAGATATGACAGACAATTCACAATTGTGGATTCACCCAACTGTGATCTCAAACATGTGATCTGGTGCCTTCATACCTCTTCACCATCTGAAACAATAATGTCCTCAATTCTCAATGGCAATCCACAAGAAAAACTAAGGCTTGGCTTCACTCTGGGCACAAAAACAGGCTCGGCCTCATTGTTCAAGATCTGGAAAACCCTCCTCATCGAAGGCCTAGCTTCGCTATCCAGGTTCGCCCAACTCAATCCCACAAGCAACATCTTCCTCATTTCACTCTCCTCAAACTCACCCTTCAACCTCACATCAGCAGCTTCCATGATTTTCCCCTCAGAATGCAATCCCCAAACAAAATCAATCAAATTCACCATCCTCTGAGTCCCCTGTTCTCTCTCAATTGGCCTCTTTCCACAGCATACTTCAAGTACAACCACTCCATAGCTGAAAACATCGGTTTTCTCGGCAGGTTTCCCACACTGAAGATACTCTGGAGCAAGGTATCCCACAGTTCCAGCGGTTAGAGTCGAAACGGGGCTTTTAACACCGTGATCCATCAATCGTGCCAATCTGAAATCTCCAAGCCTTGCGTTGAATTTACCATCTAGCATTATGTTACTGGCTTTTATATCTCTGTGAATCACTTGCTGTTCACATTCTTGATGCAGATATGTTAGAACAGAGGCTAACCCAACTGCAATATTGTATCTATGTACCCATTTCAGCAAATTACCACGCTCAGATTGATCATATAGAACCTGATCAAGACTCCCATTGGGCATGAACTCGTAAACAAGCAACAATTCGTCTTTTTCAACACACCAGCCTTGGAGCTGAACCAAATTCTTGTGCCTCAAAGAAGCTATAATCGTCAATTCGGCGAGGAACTCTGTTTTTCCCTCATGGCTATGCTTTGATCTCTTCACTGCAGAGATTGTAGCAGAAGAGACTAAATAGGCTTTGTAAACAGTTCCAAAAGCTCCATGGCCTATGATTCTGCTTGAATGAAACCCTTTTGTGGCAATCTTGAGCTCTCTGTAACTGAATTGTCTCGAACCGGCCACAAGCCCTGTTGTGAAGCTCTGTTTTGATACCCCTCTCCTTTTTCTGACAGAAATCCACCCGAAAACCACAAAGAGACAGATTAAGGCCGGGCAGGCGATCCCGAGACCCAAACCGAGGCCCCGGTGATGCTTCTTGGAAGAAGAATTTGGGACCTGAAAACGCGGTGTAATCACTGAATTATCGGAGACATTGTGGGGATGATTTCGAGCCCTCCCGGAGGGTGATGTTTCAAACCTCCAATTCTCAATCAAGTGAAGTTCTGTGCTTCCCTCAGTAGATGCCGAAAAACCCACATACATAAACTCTTTCAGATAATGAGAGAGGTCGATTTCGACACTCAACAGAGGCATCTCTGGCTTCAAATTACTGTAACTCAAGAACACATTCAATTTCCTATGATCATTCTTGTAATCAATCCAAGCAGTGATTGAATTCCCACTCTTGAGATCAATATCAATCGATTTAGGATCAGCAGTCATGATCGAAACCAAGCTTTCAATGTCCAACCCAACATGATTATCATTCGGATCATTGAATTGAGAATCGAGCCTAGTATCAAATTCAACAGCTACAAACTTGTTCTTGGTCAATTGAGACGAATTGACAAGACGCAAGCGCCTTCCTTGACTACCCAGATTCCGATTTTCAGGGGATAGAAAGAAACACAACCCGTTTCCGAAAGAAGTGGGATTTAGACTGGTGATTGAGAAAGAGAATCTTGTGGAGAAAGAGACTGTGGAATTGGAGTTGGGATCGAAGAATGGAATTGGGTAGCTGTAAATGGCGGTACCGGAGCTCGAAGACGGGACAGGGAGGTCTCGGGTGAGGCCGATGAGGCCGTTCTGGAGGTAGGCATCGCCGAGGAGAGTTGGGTTTCGGAGAGTGAAAGATGGGAAGTCGAGGATTATGTTTTCTGAGGAGACTTGTGGTGGGTGTGAGGAGTTGAAGAGGAAGAAGAGGAGAGAGAGAACAAGAAGTGTTCTTGGATGCATATTGTTGAGGAAGATGGTTTAGGAATCAATGGAGAGAGAGAGAGAGAGAGAGAGAGAGAGGTTTCTACGAGGAAGAAGAAAGAGAGGGAACAATTTGGGGGGAAAGTATAGTAGGTTTTGCAACGGTTACATGGAATATTGGAAGGGCGGCTAGTTTCAATATTATTAATTATAATTGGTTAAATTTTGAGATGAGCTTTAAAAATAATAATAATATTCCCTCCATTCCAAAATAATGATCCTTTTTAGAAAATTTAACTTTTTTTGATAATATAATTATTGCATTTGAAAAAAGTTGATTTTCCAAAATTATCCTTTTGATAGTATATTTTTTTGGGAATATCAATGTCATAATTGTGCTTTTTATATTGTTTATTAATTTAAAAGAAAGGTAAAATAGGAAATTTATATTATTTTTGTACTTGATTTTTGAAGAGGGACTAATATTTTGAGACAATGAAAAATGGAATAAGAGACTAATATTTTGGGACAGGGTAATAAAATCACATTTTAGTTAAATTTTTTTGTAAAGTTTTTGAAAAAAGTTTAATTAAAGACAATTTTTTTATAAAAAAAAACTTTTTTTGGGTCTTTAATTGACTTTCTTTTTTTTCTTCGATTGTTCTTATTTTTTATTATTTTATTTTTTAGTCCATCTAGTTGAATAAAACTTAAGCCTCGTTTGGAATAGGCTATTTTAATATTTTTTTTTAATTTTTTGGTTAAAATGTGAGGCAAAAAATTAGTATGTTTGGAATAATTTTAAAATTTTTTACAAAAAGATGTGCAAAAAATAGAAAAAAAAGAGAATTTTTGACTTTTTTGTATAAATTGTTAGCTTTTTAATTTTTTTAATTACTTTTTAACTTTTAGACTAAAAAATGATGTTACCAAACGAGACCTAAAAATATAAAAGAATAAAATAAAAAAAATATAAGGGTAAATTACAAATACACTCCGGAGGTTTGCTTAAAATACGAATTGCCTCATGTGGTTTGAAAAATTACAAATACCTCCTTGTCAGAATTTTTTATTTAACGGAATTAATTGAAAAAGTAAAATTTCTAACTGTTCATCTATACAATAATAAAATTATCTGAATTATTAATTGAATTTTTTTTAACATTATTAAAAACTATTAATTAACTTGATGATTTATTAATAAAATGATCTATTTATTATGAAATTAGAAACTTCAAGAGGCATAATGTAATTTTTAGAACTACAGGAGATAATTTGTAATTTAAATAAATCTCAAAGGTTGTGTTTATAATGTATCCAAAATATAACTAAAAAAACTAATTCTAAACACTCTTAGGACATCTCCAACGGTACTCAATTTTTTCACTAAATTTGAGGAAAAGCTCTTTTTAATATCAAGTGCTCCAATGGAAGGTTTTGCGACTTCGTTAGACTACCGATCGACCGAGCAGACAATCGGGTGGATGTTCGGCCAGTCGACTGACCAATGCAAATTTTTCATAATTTTTCTTCTTGAAGATCCAAGGAGTCGACTAGGTGAACGACCAGCCAATATAATTTTTTCATAAATTTTTACTTTGAGGTGGTCATCGAAAAGGACATTAAGAGAGATGGTGAAAATCCAACAACAATGAACAGTGATTTGATAAAAGGCACATTAATCCTCAATTTAATTAAAAAAAAGTGAAATCTTGAATTTAATACCAATTTGATGAAACTGTTGAAGTTGAAAAAGAAACCATTTTTTTATCAAATTTAAATTTGATGATAAATTTGATACGTGTTTGGAGATGGTCTTAATTGATCATAATTGATGAAGTAGATTGTGATGAACAAAAAGCGTAAAAATTCTATCACAAATATACATGATATCACTAATTACTAATAAAATTACATATCAAAAGTGAATCCTATATTTAAGAAATAATTATTTAGTAATTACCACATATATAGTGGATTACAAAGATCACATTTATTAATTGGTAATATTATATGTTTATGATAATCTGGTATCATAAATTATTATTATTATTATATTTTTTCATAATCTTGAAAGGTTTTTTATTTCATGAGTCTTGACTCAATATGACAGTTTTCAAGCCAAGTTTAAATAACTTGCTAATAAACTTGATTCGGCACATTTAAAATCCTAACGCCACCACTAACCCCATTAACTTCACCTCCTCCTCCACATCACCACCACCACCACCACCACCAATACAACCATTAATACATTAATTTCAAATGCACAACCAAACATAAGAAAACATTTTCTCTAGAAAAAAAATTTCTGTCCAAATAAATTGAGTGTAAGACACAAAAATTGTTGAAATAAGTACATCAAAATGTCAGGCACTCTATTATTCATAAACTTGAAATACTACAATGCGACAATAGGAATTGTTAACGAGGAATAATAACCCTCTGAGCTATTTTGGCCACTTCAATGGCTGGGTTAATTTTAAGCCAAATTACAGAGAAACCATCAAATTCGGATCTAAGACGAGAAAAAAATCCTCATCTAACATTGCATTAAGTATAAACATCTCTACAAATTTTTCACAACAAATAGGCCCAAGCGAGATCTCCTTCCCCATTGAATTTCGCCTACAAAATTTAATTACTTTCACCAATAAGGATGAAAAACAGCGAGATGATGCTGAGAGAGAGAGAGAGAGTACCTTATCTTGGTGCAGAAATCTCATCCAAGTTATTGCAGCAATGTTCTTGAAGACAACAATTTCTTCAACGTTGCCTCCTATTTTGGCTGTAATTTTTGAGGCCGAAGAACTACACAACGGTAAATTATGTTATTAAATTCAATAATAAATAATATGGTCCAATGGGATTAAAATATATAAGCAAAACTACTTGCATCGTGCGAAGACGTTAAAGAAACAGATAAAGATTACCTTCATCTATACTGCAAAAACTTTCAGGTGGGAATATTATATATGGGTCAACTTTTTGCTGGGATGAAAGAACAAGAGCCACTGAATTTTTACTGCAAAAATCAAGTATGAACTCATTAAAAGCTTCAGTTGCTCGCAAAAAATAAAAACAAATAAAATCACAAAAACATGACCTTAAATCATTCTGATGAACAACATTCAGTTCATTAGTGGATAGAGACTTGTAAATGTCGAAGTAGCATAAGACAAGTGAGATGGGTACAGCAATTTTATGTGCTTTCAAGGTTTTGTTGAACTCTGAGAAGACAATTAAGATAATTACCTGGCCCAAGAAGGAACAAACTTTTTCGTGTGAATTTCATCCCTTTCATCCTCTTCGTCCTCTTCATCATCCGAGCATTGATATGGAGAAATCGAATATGATTTTTCTAGACTTGTCTTGGCCATAAAGCTATCCTTTTCTGCAGTTTTTGTGAAGACACTTGTTGGCTAGGAGACCATAAAAACTTTCAGTACGAGGTTCAATGTGAAAGTAAATAAGCACATCGCAAAAGAGTAGTACTATATGAATTAATGTCACAAAATGGACTCCTCAATAAGGAGTAACATCCTTTCTCACTGGCATAAATGGTGTAAGGTAAAAGCCTCAAAGTTGCTGAAACCAACCTTCCATGGGTTCCCTAAGGGATATCTACTCATGTAGAGTAATTTCAGTATTTTAATCTCTTTTTTCTTTCTTTAATGGTGGTCAAGAAAGTTTTGTAATGTGGAAGTCCTTGGGTGTTCCCTTTTTTCTTTATTTATTTTAAGATAACATCAAATGGAGTTTTACTACCTTACCTAATGCTAAGGGAAAGTGGGGTAATGGGATTCAAACACCTGACCTCCTCGCCAAAGGTTCTCTAGGGTATTCCTTGGTTACCTACTGCTAGACCAAAGAGGTCTTGGCCCTGGGATATTTCCTATTAGTATGCCTACTGTCTCTTCCTCTCTACCTGCCCTTGAAACCCTGAACTGGACTCTGACAACTCATATTCAAAGCCAGCATGCACATGGAAGGCCACTAATCATGCCTAGTGATTGCTCTGTTGTACTCTCACATATTGCAACTATTGCCGAGACTACAGAACAGAGCTGAATAACTTTGCAGATTTAAAACTCAAATCAGGGAACTCTTTCTTTTTGGAGACGTGCATGATGAGAACTTTACCTCCCCATTGTCACCAAAATGACTAAAAGCTTGACAATCCTTCAGGATTACTTGGCTGGCATTGCTTGTCGAAATTTCAGCAGCCCTAGGATCAGTCTGTGGCTTTTTCATTTTTTGATGTTTTCTCAATTCATTGTTAGATTCCTTCCCGTCGTTCACATTTTCATCCTAGAAAAGTCATCACCATAGTTGGTGTCGCGGCAACATCAAATTGAATGGAATACAGAGTGCATTAATATAGAAGGAATCTTACCATGGCACCAAATGGTACTTCTTTCTCTTTCTCTGCTCGTAATTTCTCTTCTTTTCCTCTCTGTTGTTGTCGTGGTTCTTCAATTCGCTTTCTTTTTCTTTCCTTCTCCTTCCTCTCTTCTTCCTCCCTCAGTCTTTTTCTTGCTGCCATATCAGCATCTTTTTTCTTCTGTTCCTCTTCTTTCTTTTTCTTGTTTATCTCCATTTGCCGCAAATTTTCTTGCTCTTTTCTTTCTCTTTCAAGCTTCAATGCATCCTTCTTCAGCTTGCGTTCATTCTGTCTTTTTTCTTCAAGGCGCTTTGCAGCCTCCAGTGCCTTCACTTTGATATCTCTCTTCCCTACAAAGTGCCACAAAATGTCCTGATCTACGTACTAAATGAAAAATAGAAAAATAATTTTACCAATAAAAAAGGAACGTAGTCAAACAGATATGCAAGGTAGCTTCTAAGTTCTGAAATTCATGTGAAAGTCGGAGGATTGAAAGTGTAATTTACCCAAAGAAAGATTGTTGGTTCCTCATATACAAAAGAAAAAATTAAGCAAGTAAACAAACAAATCCAAAAAAAAAATAGAAAAAAATTACCTGTGCCAACTGCAGCTGCTTGTTTTTGTTGAACTAGTGGAAGAAAGGAAGTGATGTTTGAAACAATATTGTTACGCTTAGACTCCCTCTCTAAGAGATTCTGCCCACCTTTCCTCAAACTTGTTTTCCCTGACAATTTTGGCTTACTGAATCTGTTGTTTAGTGACTCAGTTGCCTTCTTAATACAATTTGTGCTTACTGATAAAGAGCCCCTGACAATTTTGGCTTACTGAATCTGTTGTTTAGTGACTCAGTTGCCTTCTTAATACAATTTGTGCTTATTGATAAATAGCGGTTCTCCTTTGCCTCGTTTGTACATCTCCTCTTATTGCTGTAGCAATTACCAAGCTTCTGTTTGATCCCACTTTGGGCCCCAGTAGCACTGACTTCAGTGTTTGTGGAATCTAAACTATTTCTATCAAGAAATCTTTCTGCTGCAGAAACTGATGTAGGAGGGTTCACACATGCTTCTTTTATCTCTGCAAGTGGTTGTCGTTTGGCACGAGTCATCAGTGTTGAAGAAATGTCCTCTTGGATTGTATCGGCCACCTCATCTATATTTTCATTCTCTCCACTAATGCTGGGATCTTCCTCAATTGGGAAGCATGTAAGCTCTGGGTTTAAGCTCCGTTGCTTCCCTGAACTACTAGAGTTTGATGAAATTCTGTCCCAGAGCTTTCCAATAGGAGACATATAAGGTTTTTTAAAACTCCAACCAAAACGAGCATCAGTGTATGGTACACAATCAGAATACAACACTCCTTCGAAAGCACACTTCACTTCATCCACACAAATATAACTTGCCCTGAGCTCTTTTCCACCATCATCATTTAGATTTAAGGTACTCCTCAGGTCCATGTGCTCAAGAAGTCCATTTGGTACAGACTGGTATAAATCTGGTGTTCCATGCAATTTGAATGTAGCTGAGAATTCAGACAGTGGGGTATGCCTGCTAGCAGATTTGCAAAGCTGTTCCAGAACACTAGCACGTTTTACTGTGGTACTTGGAAGGTCCAACTTGTGGTTGTTCATTCTCTTCAGGTTGTTCATTAGCATGACCCATTCTTAAATTGGGGGCCTAGAGTGAATGAAAAGATTTCAAAGAAATCCTCATATAATGTGGGGCCTTTTGAAAACTTTGGTGCCAGGTTCCCTGCTGGTCATCCCTTCCCTCTGCCCCTTGCCCCAGTTAATGATTCTGTGCTTTGTAGTATGTGCTGATGCTACTAAAACAGATTCCTTTGCACCTTATATTCTGAGACAGGAATATTATCTTCTCTTTTTTGATATTGTGTGTTGGACAGGAAGAATCAACATCCAAGCATGGACAAATTGGGCCATCCTTAGTTTCAAGTTTGACCAAAGAGGAAGCAGGAGACTCCCATGGTTGCTTTATGGAGAATGTGGGACCAGCAGATACAAAGGAAGCAGTGTGATGAACAAAATTTCAAAGATTTGCAGCATTCTGAATGTAATGGCACCATGGAAAATAAGGATGACTTGATTCATACTGAGAGGATACTGCAGGAAACAAAATCTCATTTTGAAGAGGATGGCTTATTTTCATATTGTTCAAGCACGTGGCTTCAACTGGTGCTGATCAAACTAAGCCATCCTCTTTGAAATGAGATTTCGTTTCCTGCAGTATCCTCTCAGTATGAATCAAGTCATCCTTATTTTCCATGGTGCCATTACATTCAGAATGCCGCAAATCTTTGAAATTTTGTTCACCACACTGCTTCCTTACATCAAGGACAATGCTAGTTGTATCTGCTGGTCCCACATTCTCCATAAAGCAACCATGGGAGTCTCCTGCTGCCTCTTTGGTCAAACTTGAAACTAAGGATGGCCCAATTTGTCCATGCTTGGATGTTGATTCGTCCTGTCCAACGCACAATATCAAAAAAGAGAAGATAATATTCCTGTCTCAGGGAAAAATATAAGGTGCAAAGGAATCTGTTTTAGTAGCATCAGCACATACTACAAAGCACAGAATCATTAACTGGGGCAAGGGGCAGAGGGAAGGGATGACCAGCAGGGAACCTGGCACCAAAGTTTTCAAAAAGCCCCACATTATATGAGGATTTCTTTGAAATTTTTTCATTCACTCTGGCCCCCCAATTTAAGAATGGGTCATGCTAATACCACCCATGGGACTGTCGTTAAGGTGGAGAAATGCCAAAATATAAATAGTCCCAATGCACTTTTTACATATTTCATAACACTGCTACATATTTCGAAGATGGTAGTGGAGTGTGTGATAGTGGAGGTGGTAGGTGTGGAGAAAAATAGTGGAGGTAGTAGGTGAGTGGTATAGTGGAGGTGGTAGGTGTGGAGAAAGATAGTGGAGGTAGTAGGTGAGTGGTAAATTCTAACAATCAGTTTGTGATCATACTGAAACATCATTTACTTCAAGCTTTAAAACAAAAGGTAAATTGCACTGATCTCTACTGAGGGTTCCAACTTTGACACAAACCTCTCATACTTGACAGGGTGAAATTGGCTGTGATGGAAGGGATACAAATAAGACAACCCCTTTCACGTTCAAGCACCAACAATTAGGATCCCTTGTCTCAAATTTGACCAAACACTCAGTAGAGAGGTTTGTGTCAAAGGATCCCTCTACTAAGATCCCATGTTGGTGCTTGAACGCGAAAGGGGTTGTCTTATTTGTGTCCCTTCCATCACAGCCAATTTCACCCTGTCAAGTATGAGAGGTTTGTGTCAAAGTTGGAACCCTCAGTAGAGATCAGTGCAATTTACCTTTTGTTTTAAAGCTTGAAGTAAATGATGTTTCAGTATGATCACAAACTGATACAAGTCATGTGATGCCGCAATTTCAGGGATGTAACGTTTTCCAGCAGAAATGTCTACTGTTTTACAGCATGGCATTTAAAAAAGTAACCAATGTAGAGTTGCTAAACTAATTATTGAAAAGTAATGAACTTTGGCTAAAGGAAGTGATCTCCAACACAGAACCAGTATGCAGGGGATAACAAACATGCGCATTACATACACACAAAAATGAAATAGATTGATACATATACACATATGCAATATGTCTAGTAGTTGAAGAACTTCAAAGAACTGAAAATAATTACCTCCTCAACTTGCAGCCTGGGTGAAGACTCAAATCCTTCCGCTATATGACATGTCACCTTTTGATGCATTTCTACACCAGGGCCCTTATCAACATTTAATAGTGCAACATCCGCCTTGTGAGAAAAAGGGAAGTGTTGAATTTCTACGACAGCATCTGAATTATCTTCAGCATTCTGAAGGTTCTTATTGATATCTAATTCGGATACCTCTTCATCAACTACAACACACTCTTCCACACCGGTTTCAAAAGAAACCCTCCTAGGCTCTTCTCTTTTGTTTGAGACCTCTTGCTCCAGTGATTGCATCTCCAAAGATTTTCTGCAAGGGTCATCAAAAGTTACTTTATCTAGTGATGTGGCAGACTTCACTACAGTACATCTTTTTCCTGATGATTTGTCCAGCCTTTCCTTTTCCATAATAGGGTTAAAGGTTTCATTCAAACTGCACTTTTCCCCATCATCAAAGTTGCGCTTCACAGACATACTACAATCGGATGGTGGCCTCGAGAGAACAATTTCCAACCCTACACTTAAGCCAGCAGCATCCAAGTTAGAATCAGAACAAGCTGCTCAAGCATCAACTGGCCCATAAATACGGTCTGGTTCTGTGACATAATCAGCCTTTCCTTCCTGGTTAGCAATAGCATCAGTGTCAGGACAATATGGGATTATGTCACCACCTGACACATTCTGAATGACTAGTCGTTCCAACATGTTTAATGAGTTAACGAATAGAGACTTTTTAGAAGCACCAGATTTGGATCGCGTCACTCGTTGGCTGGCAATATTCGATGAATGTACAAGCTTTGATACTCCTTCAATACAAGTACTTTGTGACGTTGTCTTTCTAGGACCATCTTCCTTAGCAATATCAGAACTAAGAAGTTTCAAAGGTTTACTATCACGACTAGATAGATTGCAAGAACTTCTAAATCTTGTAATTCTACCACAATAAATGTTAGCATCCTTTTCCTTGCTTAAGCATTCTACTTTTGCCTGTCTCACTGCATGATTATCCCTAATGAGAATGATGTTGGTGCTTCTTCTAGTGCTATTAAAATATCTAGGATTGCTTCCCAACAGCTTGATTGTGATAATGAGTCATTGGAATTGACTAAATTTTCTGGTATTATTAGGGGTAATCATGCAGTGAGACAGGCAAAAGTAGAATGCTTAAGCAAGGAAAAGGATGCTAACATTTATTGTGGTAGAATTACAAGATCTAGAAGTTCTTGCAATCTATCTAGTCGTGATAGTAAACCTTTGAAACTTCTTAGTTCTTCTGATATTGCTAAGGAAAATGGTGCTAGAAAGACAACGTCACAAAGTACTTGTATTGAAGGAGTATCAAAGCCTGTACATTCATCGAATATTGCCAGCCAATGAGTGACGCAATCCAAATCTGGTGCTTCTAAAAAGTCTCTACTCGTTAACTCATTAAACATGTTGGAAGGACTTGTCATTCAAAATGTGTCAGGTGGTGACATAATCCCATATTGTCCTGACACTGATGCTATTGCTAACCAGGAAGGAAAGGCTGATTATGTCACAGAACCAGACCGTATTTTAGATGGGCCAGCTGATTATGCCACAGAACCAGACCTGATGGCCTCCCAACTAGACACAAAAATAAAGGGCTTGTTTGGTTTGTATTTGTAGAGTAGTTTTTGAAATAAAAAGTACGAAAACTTGTTTGGTTTGCCTTTTTTTAGAAATGATTTTGAAAAATTGTTTTGGGAGAGAGAGTTTTAAAAAAAGTGATTGATTTGATGTGTATGAGAGAGAGTGATTTTGGAAAGAAGCAAACCAAACAAAATTTTGAGATTTTTTTTGGAAAAATTTGTTTGATTTGATTACTCTTGAAAATTTGTTTGTAGATAATTTTTTGCAAAATTTTTTCCCAAAAACAAACCAAACAAGCCCCTTAGGAGTCAATCTATTATTTTCAGTTTTGACACTAGTCATCATATTGACTTGATAAATCACAATTTTATCATCATACAAAACCATGTCAGTGTGAAACATAACATGTAGCCAAGCATACTGCTGTGTGCTCAGAATTCTTTTTTTGGCAATATCAAGAAACTCATTTGTGAACAAGCTATTTTAAAAACTTTTTGACTTTTTATAAAAAGATGTGCAAAAAATAAAAAAAATGATATGACGACTTATAATGACTTTTTAGCTTTTTGGCTAAAAGTGAAAATTCCCCAGCTAAGTGAATGATTAGCAGCTAAAGAAATTAAAAGACGCTAGGCTGATAATAAATCAATAACTTGTGACAATACTCGAGGAAAAATATCTTGTACGGACATCTACTTTCATTTCTATTTTTTTTTTTTAATAGCACCACTGCACTTGACATGGAAATAACCAAGTGCGTTGCACATGCTTTCAGTGTTGGCTTCAACAAATTTCAAACAAGTGCATCCATTTTGAGCCTTCAGTATTGGCTTCCCCAAGTAAGATGGAAGGTCAGGGGTGAGTGAGTTTAGAAGAACAAATATAGCACCTATTAAGGCTGTATTTGGATTATGAATTCGGGGAGATATTGGAAAGGGAAAAATGAGTGAAATGTGAATGAAATATAGCTACATTTCACCTATGTTTCACCCACCTTTTCCTTTTCACTTTCCAAATCCATGATCCAAACACAGCCTAAAATTAATTCCAAAATTAAATAAAAATTCATAGTTGCGTGTGCAATGTTTGTCTAAGACCCATATAGAAGAAAAATGGGTAGATGCCCTTGACACCAGTCGAGCAGAAATTTGAATGAAATTGAAACACTACTTGGTTACTGAAAATGCGAGAAAAAAAATCTAAAATTTTAAACTCATTCAATCTATTGATTTAATATCTGAAGTGTTTGAAAAGCTTAATTCAACAAAGTCGTAAACTTTTGCATTATGCTCAGTCCGGACGATCAAAATGATAGATTTGAGTATC